AAAATTACTCAAATATATAATTTATAGTTTAATCGTAATAATAATAAATAATTTTTTTTTGAATTAGTATAATTTGGTTTTTGCTACTAGAAAGACTTTGTATAATCTGTACCATTTACCGAAGTTATAAGTTTACGATTATAGTTATACGAATACATTATCCACAGCACACCGGATAATGTATAAATTGATTGGATACTACATATTTAAGGTGGATAATGTATACATTACACTGTTCGTATGGATGAGGTTCACATTACCCGGGTAATATGTACACTAACCATTTTTATACTTTACCCGTAACATATATACATAATGAATAAATGCAAGTGTTCCAATAATTGAAATGTGGAAACTATAGAACTATAGCGCTCCTTTCTCACGTTTAAAAATACTTCTAAACATTATGAAGAACAAATTGAGAGAGAACATAGAACAAAATATATTGGAAGATCGATTTGGATTTAGAAAGGACGAGGAACAAGAAAAGCAATATTAGCACTAAGACCAATCCTTGAGAGAAGAATTACACTGAATAGAAATACTATAGCAACATTCATAGATCTAGAGAAGGCTTTCGATAAAGTGGATTCGAAAATCTTATTCAAGATATTAAGAGAAAAAGGAATTGATTGAAAAGATCGACGTCTCACTTTTAACTTATTTAATAACCAAACAACAGAAATAAATGAAAATGTATCGGTAAAAGAAGCAAGAATAAGGAGAGGAGTGAGACAAGGATACTCCTTGTTGCCCTATCTATTTAATATTTTTATTGAAATGAGAATAGATATAATGAAAACCAAGACCAATGGAGTGATAATAAATGGTCAACATATACAATGTATTGGCTTTGCGTATGACAGTCTGAACATGACTTTGAATGAAGGTGATGAAGATTATTGAATCAAGAAAAATAAAATTAATCGGACACATCATCCGGCACAATAACTTTATAATCAACATCTTTCAAAGAAAAATGACTGGGAAGAAACTAAGAGGACGCCCAAGAAAATAATATTTTGAAAATATCCTGAAACTCATGAATTGTGCGTTTTTTGATTCACTGAAGAATTTTCCATCAAACAGGGAGGAGTGCCTTCAAAGACAAGGCATTGATTTTTATAAATGATGATGATGAATAAATACAAAATAATGAATAAATGAATACATGAATAAAAACCTATTATATTAATTAAATTTAATATGAAATTTATATTGAATTTAATATTGTAAATTTTACAGAGAAATAATAAAATATCGAAAAGACGTTATACATTCTTTTAATATTAATCACTCAGTGATATCTCTTAAAATAATTATTAAATTATTAATTGTTAATCCCAAAAAGAAATCAAACAGATTAACACCGAAGTATTTTTACGATAGTGACACAGATATGATGAAACAATGATAGTACATTTCGAAATTTTATGATAAATCGAACATTCCAATTAGAAATGTCACCACATAAAAGGAATTATATTATTGTACAGCGCCTTTTACAATAATTATTGTAGTAAATAATTGGTTATACATGTTATACTAGTGTTAGTGCATAATAATGAAATTTCAAAAAATATCATGCATTTGAGCAGGTTTATCTACTATGTGATAACAAATAATAATCAAGTGTTTACTATTAATGTATGTATAATTCTATAATGGCTATTTGAGTTACTATAGCGTAGGCGTATACAAGGGGGCACTCGACCCCTTGACTTTTTATAGAGTCATATTTCATGGAGCCAATATGAAAATTTTTTGTTAGGAATATTAAATATAAACTCCGAAAAATAAAAGTGAACAATTATTTTGTGACTCCTAAACATTTTTACTGTCCTTTAAATAATAAGGTATACAATGATGAATTATTGCAATCATTTTGGATAAGTTTGTTTATCAGATGCTATATTAGCAGACTATTACATCTTTCATAGAGAGCTATTATATAGAGAAACTATTGCCATGTCTTTTCTATTATTACCATACATAAGATAAATAAGATTTGTGGTCGTATTATTATGTATTACGAAGTATTTTTTTGTATCTAGAACCTATGTGTAATCGCTCCGTGTTGTCAGAGATTTCATATTTTCATTTTTCATATGTTAAATTAAGGCTACATTAATTTTTAACTTAGATGCGAAGCTGAGAAAGTATTGATTTTATCATGATATGCATGTTTTTGTACATCCATGAAAATTCTCAGCTCTCATTGGACCGATTTTGTAGGTTTATGTGTCAAAAGAATCTAATTTTAATGTAGTTAAATCTACCCAGTGTCCAAAATTTAACAAACAATTTTATTCAAAAAAATGAAAAAATATCTCAAAAGTACAGTAATGTAAAAAATGATATTTTCAATATATTTTTTCTGCATTTTAAAAATACTATAACTTTTTATAGTTTATTATTATTCATAATAAGATATTACTAAAAGAAACTAGAAAGAATAGCTTTGTTTTGTAATGCTTAATATAAAAATTCGTAGACAAAAACTTAAATACAGGAAATTTGGGAAAAACGGGGTAATAATGAATTTTTTTTTTTTTCAAATATTTAATTGAGATACATGTTCAGTATTTGTTATCTAGTTGTCGTATTTAATTACCACCCAACCTTGAAATTATGATTAAAATAAATATTATCTTTTTTTTAAAAACAAATATTTTAAAACCAAAAACTATAACATAACTTATATTTTTAGTAATTACTCAGGTATGGTACATATAGTTTAAAACAGAACACAATGAATAAAAACTTATCTATCTATAGAGTACTATATCCATATCAGACACAACATATTTTATCGATTGATTGTTAGTTAAATTATCCAACAGATTTTTAAATATATATTAAGAATCGAATTATACAGCGTGGTTTTTTGTAACTCTAGTCACTCAATTTCTCAAAAATAATACTTTTTTTAATAATTTTGTTTTTGTTAGTAATATACTCATTTCCATTTATCTGTTATAAAATTATTTTTAGGTCCATCCCTTATATATTACAAGGGTGTGAATTTTATTTTTAAAATGGTAACATACATATTATACTAGCTTATAAAATAGAAAATTATCTAATTATAGAAATTACTGGTCGATAACAATTTTTGAACAAGTAATTTGGAAGTTATTCTCATTTCATACCTAAGCGGGAAGAAAAGTATGGTCGGTAAATGACTTATGATAAAATTAGTAGCATCTACTCCTCACCGCCAGTCATTACTTTAAATTGTTAATAAATTTTGAAATACGGGTCCATAAGTTGTTATCAATCAGTCATTTTTTGTTTTACAGGCTAACATAAAAGAATCACACTGTATATCTAAGACATAGTATCAATAATTAAATTTAAAAGGATATTAATAAATTTCATTCCATCAAAATCTTTTGTCTGAATTCGGAAACGAACGTCTTGGTATAAAAAGAGCTGAAAATGGCGACGGCGATACAGTAACTCCTTCTTGGTGTATATCAGGCAATTGCACGCCTTCTGGAACCTTAAGCTCGAAATTTTGAAGAATTTTAGCAACAAACATAAATACATTTGTTTTAGCCAATACTTCACCTAAACAACGCCTTCTACCTACATATATATTATATTATATTATTAGTACTATTTATTAATAGTTTACAAAATGTTTATAGAAAAAAAATAGTTTAAATTTACCTATTCCAAATGGTATGAACCAACTGTCGTTTATGATTTGTCCTGTTTCATTTAAAAATCTTTCGGGTCGAAAATTTTCAGGATCACCCCAGTGCTGTTTATCCATATGCACACTCCATATACTTGCCAAAATAAGTGTATCCTTATACAGTTTAATAATAAATTTCAATTTATGTAAAAAATATGTATAATATTGANACATAACTTATATTTTTAGTAATTACTCAGGTATGGTACATATAGTTTAAAACAGAACACAATGAATAAAAACTTATCTATCTATAGAGTACTATATCCATATCAGACACAACATATTTTA